GATAAGTTTCCTGGCTTTTGTCCTCTCTGCTTACGTGCCTGCTTCATCTTTAGGTTATGGCTTCAGCCTAGTCTCAGAGTGTCTTTTCCTGCCTCAGCTGACCAGCCCCATCACTTTATCAAGCTAGATCACCCATGGTGAGAACATATAGTATTTATCCTATATTTATGCAATGGTTCAGATTTCACAGATACAAGTCTTCTTAGACATGAAGGTGATCCTCTGCAATCAAGAATGTGTGACCTAGAAGTCCAACCTGGGTGTATACATCATCCAAGGCCCCCTTATGGCTAAAACATGCACATCTGCAGAATTGGGTCCAAAAAGTCAAGATGGTGCCCTTAACTGCACAGTTGAAGCCCTGCCCCTTTTATGTGGGGTTTTGACTGCACAGTTGCAGTCACCGTGTTGACTTCTTTGACCACACCCTGCATATAAGCCCGACTTCTTACACCTGCCCATCACATTTAAGAAATTATTTCAGATTTCAGGGAGCTCTAGATATTTAAATTGGTTTTATTTTTTTACTAAAATCTCAACATCCAAATAATAATGCAAAATAACAGTACAAAGGGTGAGACTGGGTCTAAGAATGAAAAAATAAACTACCTCTAAATTCAGTACACAAAACACGGAAGCCAAAACTGAGTGTGCACATCTTGATTTTCTTGAACAAGAATTAAGAAAATCTTTCTTGGTTTTCTTCTTCTTAGGTACAGCCCTTTACTATTCTCTTCCTATTATATTTTATAGAAAAATAGAAGTTTCTCAGTCTTGTTTTATACCAAAAAGCGGGTTGGGGCACACGTGGAGCAAGAGAACAGGTCATTTTTTCCTATTATAGCAAGATGTGTTATATTTCAACTTACTGTATAGTACTTTGGATAGATGTATACAGTATCCTATGCAAACGTATGTCTTATTTTGTGAAACTGCCCAATTCACAGAACAGTGTCCTGAGCCCAGAAAAAATATTTTGTCATCCTTATCTTCTTGCGTAGCCCTCTACAAAATAGGAGAATAACAATATCGGCCTATTCATATAGGTTGCTGTAAGGATTAGCAACGTAAAATATCTGAAATGTTTTGAACTGTTTCTACAATAAACACTGTTATTATTTCTTGGTACTTGGGGAAGCATGCCCAAAATAATGCAGGATTCAGCTCATGTAAGCCATTAGGTATGGATTTTGTGTTTGGTAACCCTTTTATTGCAGGGCACTTATGACTGTTTTTAACATTTAAAATCATCAAGAACTTTGGGTTGTGTAATAACAAGAAGTTTCCTTTGATTCCAGATAATTGCAAATGGGTTTTCTGGGGGCAAACACATCCTTAAGACGTCTTGACAAAATCAGCCCATCCTGTGAGCATCAGGTTTATCTTTCTATACGTAGATTTAATTGCATCTATTCAAGCGGCAACTTAAAATTTCTGCACCTCTTTTGGAAAAAGCCGGTGGCAGAGGGCAGACACAAGAGACTAATTTGATTGTTTTGGAATAAAATGCAAGCTATTGTACATTTGCTTCTAGCAAAGCCACTATTAAGTAATTAGACTATATAGCTACTCTGCAACTTCTATCAGTTTTGCTTCTAGGAACTTTCTAATAATTATGGCTTACTTAACATGCGAACTCTACCCCTGACACTTCACCTAATCATAATCTTGCTCTTATCCTAGATTCCTTCAAATCTTTTTTTTTTCTTTGTACAGCTATTCTATGAGTTGTTTTGCTGAAAAGAAAGAGAAATTCACAAGCTGTTCAGAAGTGTGGTAGTTAATAAAAATAAAGGTTAGTTTTATATGAAAGGCAAGGATGTGGCTGATAGGTAACAAAGTCAGGCCTAATCTTTATGACTTAACATTAAACCACTGTGCACTGCTATAGTCTGTGGCAGATATCTACAAGTACGTGTGGACTATGTGATAAAATGCATTCCTTTTGCAACAAGGCACCCAACCTTTTTTTGACATGGAGCTTTGAGAACAAATCTCAGTTGCTGTTGCAAAACAGATCTCTATAATTGGGGTGGGGGAGAGGATCACCTAATTTACAGAACAGGAGCCAGTGTGGCCATAAAAAAATTCAGGAGCCTGGTAGCAGCTTTTCCGAGTAACAACATTTATTAAAAGACATAAGCTTTGATTGAAAGGCATAACTATGCAGCCGTAGGCATTCGGAGAGAAACCAGTTCCCCACCCTTTCTTCTAGCACGGCCTAAAAACACTCTTTTTGAGCAAATTAGCAAGCAGAGATAAGAATTTATCCAAGCTGTCCAGAACTCCATTAGTAGCCCAGAGGCCTCCATCCGCTCATATTTCTAAACCATATTTTGCACTTTGGAGGGTTTAAAGGGATCAAAATGAGTTTTGCACACTTAAAAACCCATCTGTGCCCTTAAGCCCCCCCCTCCCAAATCCTTAAGACAGTTGAAAAACTTTGCAGTAGCCACCCAGATGCCATCATAGCATTGTTGGCCCTGGCCCCATGACCCACAGGTGGGGGACAATGTACCGCAAGACACTTTGCAGCAAAATGCCCGAGTGCATTACAAAGAGACATGGATTCCAGAGGCAAGCAGAAGAGTAGCATGTGGCCAACCGTATCTGGGTCTGGAATCTATCTGAAGCAGCATTTGGATAGGAGACCATCAGGACATCCCAGGTCAGCTAGCTGAGAGGTCACGAAAGATCAGTCAACTGCTGTTTGCCACCTTCTGGAATTATTCTTAATTATGACCTTTTTAAATATGGGACACAACAGCATTCTTGGAAATAAAGATGATGCTGTAAGAGATGTGTTGATTTTCAACATGCCAAGTTGCTGTTTCTCTTCCTCTTCTATTATTATTGTAATACTTATTATTCCACTAATCATGTATCATGGCTAATTTTGGCAGGTTTTCTCCTTTATGATTCGCGCCCTATCCAAAGGCTTGGGAATCATAAAGGTCGTGTCTAATTATTCATGAGTTGCCCAATAGTGCTATTGTGTGTAGTTGGGCTATCATAAGTTGTTCCAAATTTAGGAAGTCCAAATTCTTAGTTCTCAAGATACTGCATCTAATGCTTCAGTAAAAATTATACCATTGTAAACTTCTAGATTTTTGCAATCTTTCTGCAAATCTCAGTATTTTGTAATCTCTTCTAATTCCTTGTCTTCAACATTGATGGAATTATTATAAATATGTGTATATTAATATAATTACTATTTTATTATAAAATAATTATAAAATGTTTGTATTATTAAAAAATATAATCATCATGATCATGTTAAAGATTGTGCCTGTCAACTGGATCTTTTTACCAACACAGGAATGGTAGGAGCCCAGCAGAGCGTGCTGCCCTCAGACTTGACTTAATCATTAAGTTGACTTCTCAGAGAGGATTTTAACCCTGACATTGTAAGGAAAATGGCAATAAAATGCTTCTGTTAAGAACCTCAGCTGTTTGTTGCAATTTCCTGTCTGTTGTGGCTTGTGCATTGGGATAACAATGAGAGAATGTATTAAAGATAGATCTGAACTTTTGAAGAAGAGTGTTCTCCATTTCTTGTTCAGCAGAGCAGAAAATGCCAAGTAAACTAGAATATCCACAAAAAGCTGAAATTCCCTATTTTTCTCCTGCGGTTGGAAGGAGAACGCTGACCTTGGAGGAGGAATTAGACACTGGATACCTCCTTTTTTACCAACTAACTACTTCTACAGGTGGTGTTTTCCAGTATCAGGGGGAAAAAAAGCCCCAGAGTGGGCCCAGCAACCCTCCCAGTTCTCTTCTGTATTTGTGAACTGGGCACGAATTTAAACTAGCCATTTCGTTGGTCTAAATGTACTTGTTCCTGTTGACTAGAATGAAAGGGAAGTAAAAAAATTAAGACAGAGACATACAAAGCCTTGCCAACTCTGCAAGAGCTTACATTCTCCAACACAGACCACTCTAAATGAAAAGTAAAGTGATTTTTTTCCAGTAACAGCAACTATCCACTTGACTATACCATGGAAACAATGGGTTGCATCCAGATTTGGTCACACTTAAGAGCACATCCAATGAAATCAATGAATCTTAAGATGCATAGATTTTAATGGGTCCATTCTAACTAAATTTGGATCCAACCCATTAAATCACTTTCTGAAATGTTAAGAGGCACCCAGGTGGTTTGGGGTAACAATTAAGCTGTAAAGAATTTGGTCTAATAAACATTGGGGATTTGAAAGAGAGAAGAAATGGCTTATGTCCAGACAATACATCTATTACTGAGATGAGTTCAGTTCTTTATTAGGGACTGAGAGAAGAGAAAGAAAAGAGAACAAGCTTTCAGACTGGGAATGCCCCCATTATTACAAACAGCAATGTTTTCATTGTCCAACATATGCCGTGCAAATGCCCAAATGCCTCTGCATGAGCTGGCCCTTCAAAACCCATAATCCTCAGCTAGTACAGCCAATACATCGGAAGGAAATGATGTAGGGGAGGGCTTTAGGGGCTGTCCCCATGAAATCACAAGCCCCATTTGCAACATCTAAAGACTGGAAGTACATGGGCTGACTTTTTTCCCGTATTAATTTTGAACAATCTAGTTTTCTACTGAAAACATATTACTTCAATACTTAGCAGATACAGATTTTGTTTCCTTGCAAAGACTCTTAGGTCTAGTGTGGCTTGACTTTCATGAAAGGAACGTTCAGTGCAACATCTGGGCACTGTTGGGGAGCCTCAATGTGGTTTTCACCAAGGCAATGGCACCTGTGAGAAGGGTACATCAACTATAATCTGTCATTTCCCTAGCCATCCCAAATGCTCACACACAGAACCACTCCTTGACCTGATAGCGTTAAACATGAGCCCCTGAATGAAAAGAGGGTTACAAATAAAGGTCAATAATGCTCTATGTTTGAATTAGCTTATGCTCGATCATCCTAGCAACTGGGGTTCTAGAAGCATTGTTTTGCTATTAAGGTAAATCCAATCGCACATTTCAGCATCAGACAGCACCATTTATGGTTGCCTCGCAGTCATAAAAGTAATCCTTTTTTTCCTCCTTATTTTAGAAAGAAAAATATGGCCTGCACCCTCAGACACAACATCAGCAGCTTCAGTTCAATGATCCCCTTTATTCACATGCAAGAAGCAAAAGAGCAACTAAAACTGTGCTTAGCCATTCTTTGGTCCCCAGGCTTATGATGCACTTCACATCAATTGTCTACAATGCTACATTTGGTTCTACTTGGCAAACAGTGTATCCTCCTTGTGTTTTCTTGGACTGAGACTAATGTAATGATTGCTTAAAAAAAACATAAATAAGAGCATTGTGCAATTTCTAAAAAGGCACAAGGAAAACTGCAGTGCTGTTCCAGACCACATTGATTACCTAAACTAAAACCAAACCAAAAAAGGAATTTAAGAGGTATACAGTTGTTCCCAATTTTTTTTTATTTTATCCCTTGCCTCCCGCCCTCCCAACAACATTACAAAACATTGCGTGTTTTTGTATTATTTAATAAACCGGCTCCTTTGCAGTTCATATACAATCACAGGCGATTTTTTTTAAACTCCATTTTATACAAACATCTCCAAAAATAGTTGGGAGTGAAGTATGGTGGGAAATATTGCTCACTCTGCTAGTTAACATGCACGTATGAGAAGGAGGAAAATTGTTAGTGCATACCTCCAGAGCAGGAAAGAAACATAAAAAATGCCTCCAAAATGATACAGTAGATGACTTTGAGCACAACCCAACTGGGAATTCCCCTGTTCCACCCCCACTGAAAGAAACAGGGGTTGGGACCCTTGCATTCACTGCAAAGGGCTGGGGCAAAAACCAATTCCCAGAAGGTTGTGCCCTTACAAAAGCAAAACCGAAAGGGTTAATGTCCACAAAACTAAATTTGTCATGCTAGTTGACTTTCCAGTACTGTATCGTAATTGGCTTGTCAATTTATATATATGTATCTATATACATGGCCATTTATAGAACCCTTCTGAGGTATGTAAGAGAAAATACCTGCACCAATGTTGAGGGTAGGGTGGGGAATGTGATCTTTAAAAGGAGAAAAACCTTCCCGTGCTTCATAATTGGATTTTACACTTTTGATGGAATGAGGGTAAAACAGAGCGGCTCTTGAAAATGCTAGCTCATGACCACAGTGTGCGAGATCCCTTCCCCACCACCAAAGGGAGCCAATGGGGGTGGGGGGAGCGATCAGTAAAAACACACTGAAAGGCCAGATGGATCTATCGAAGTCCTGCTCCAGATTACAGGAAGGGATTTGAAGTGCAGCTGTCATTCTGAGTTTCCTTACGTCAGTGCTACTTAGCTTTCATATGGCTGAGCTGCAAATGAACAGACCTGCAGTTCTGGTGATTTGTTTAGTGCACTGTGTGAATCTGAAACTCTAGCTTGTTTCTCTTGGAACCAGCCACAGAAAGAAACTCAAAAACAACAGAATTCCTGGTTCACATACCATGTTAAACAAACCACAGAGGAAGTGGCCCGAAGTTTATGAGCTGCACTGGCTTGCAAGAACAGCCACCGAGCAAATTAGTGTTTAAGCCACAGGATGATTTGGCCTATAAAGGAATATTGCCCTGCTGTGGTTTCACCTGAATATCTCCTTTTTTCTTCTACACAATGCAGCAAGTTCCAATTGATGAAGACAAATCCTTTTGAAAGCAGATTGCATTCTTCAGTAACTTATTCCGCTCCACCTCCACCCCCCTACAAGCACGAGGGAACAATTCGGAGCCCAATACAAATTTTCCTTTGCCATTTCAGACACAGTTAGCCAAACAGAAAAGAGAGGGGGGAAAGAGATACCTTAGAGCAGGGTTCCTCAACCTCAGCAACTTTAAGATGGGTGGACTTCAACTCCCAGAATTCCCCAGCCAGCCATGCTGGCTAGGGGGTTCTGGGAGGTGAAGTCCACCCATCTTAAAGTTGCTGAGGTTGAGGAACCCTGCTTTAAGGTATCTCTTTCCCCCCTCTCTTTTCTGTTTGGCTAACTGTGTCTGAAATGGCAAAGGAAAATTTGTATTGGGCTCCGAATTGTTCCCTCGTGCTTGTAGGGGGGTGGAGGTGGAGCGGAATAAGTTACTGAAGAATGCAATCTGCTTTCAAAAGGATTTGTCTTCATCAATTGGAACTTGCTGCATTGTGTAGAAGAAAAAAGGAGATA